ACTTTTATTTATTTATCTAACTACCTTTTCATCTCATCAATGTATATCTTTGGATACTCCAATGATTGAGTCGTTTCATGTAGTAGATAAATATAACCATAACGTGAGAAATCATTTGTAATGGTGATTAAATACTTTACAAAACCCCATAAAGGGACGTCTAATAGACCACAAGAAAATTAGTAAAAATAAGTTTTAGTGCTTCTCTTGGCAAATCTCTTTAATGTATGTCTAGTTTGTGTTTCTTTAATTCATCCTACACATACATCCTCATCACTAAAATCCAAATGAAAAATGGTTTCATTATTCACCATTCTCAAACCTTTCTTCGAATATGTGACCATAATCTTTAATGTCATAAGAGAGTATAGTATTCATTATGTGCACTACGTTTAACCCAAAATTAAATATGAAATACATAAGTAGTTGCACATAACCAAGCCACCAAGTATCATTGGGAATCTTTAATAAATATGATTCACAACATACAAAACTTAATGTATATCTTTCTTTTCGAATCAATATTTTATTTTGGGCAATCTTTTATGAGGTGGTTTAACTTTTTACAGGAATAACACCTCATTTCTTTAATGATTGGACCTGCAAAAACTTTAAATAAGTCAATCTTCTTTTATTTGCCTTTGTTTCCCATTTCATCTTACTATTATTGGCTCTTACATGAGATATAAAGTGTATCGACTCTTGTTTCATCTCTTTTATTCTCACCTCTTCCTGTACCAGCATAGCCTTAATTTCCTTATAGTCCCATTTTATCTTTAATGGTGTTATAGTTCACCTAGGATTGGCCAAACTCGACAGATAGGGAGTTCATGATGAATAAAACCATAAATGAGTTTATCACATTCATTCTCATGTTTGCAAGTTTAGCTTATATGTTGAACATGTTAGACACGATACCATGAATGGAACGGAATTAGTTGAACTTTTATAGTGGTGAGTTCGATCATGAAACTTTCCATAATAGACTTTTTTTCCGTAACTTTAAATGGAGATAGTTCCTTGATTTTTTTATTTAGGAATTCTATTGAATTATCAGACTTAATGTTATCCGTCACGATTAATTTCATAAAATTCAAA